TGGGTAGAGATGATGTAGGAATTAAAGATCAACAGGAGGGAAACAATGGGTCTACAATGAAGCAGCGGGAATAAAACAATAAATTAAAAAAAAACCCTAACAAAAAAGTCCCACCATATCTGTACTTGGTTATCATGAACAAGAAGGAAAGAGAAAGGAGAAAGGAAAGCTTCTTCATTTCCCCCCCATCCTCAATCGCGGTTCAGGGAATGGGAGCATTCGATCCTACTCAAAATGGGAAGAAAAGAGCTTCCAATGAATCTGTTCAGAATAGTCACCAGAAGCAGAGAAGTACGTCTTAACACACTAGTATCGATATTAACGTGTACAGTACGAACGGCAGACTCAGAAAGACCCTGGAATATCACTACTCCCACAGCACCAGCGTTCTTTATTCTTATGTGTTTAAGGATGGCAGAGATGTCAGCCAGCAGAATAATGAGCTACATTTAAAAGTCTTACACTAACTTATTTTTCTGTCTGAAAAAGGCACAAAGGTACTGAGGTACGTCTCCACACAGCCTCACATCCCAGCCACTAAACAGGGTCAAGAAGCACCAGTTAGCCAAGGAGCCCTGTGTCCCAGGCCTCTGTAGTATAAACATTTTTACAAAGCTTGCAATATCATTTACAGCCCTGGCATTAGCAGATATCTCTGGATGAAACAGTATTTTTGGTTCTATGCTTAGCATTTGGTAAGAAGCCAGGAAGACTTCTATAACCAGTACAGATTTGTTAATCTCTTAATGCACTGGCATTGTTTGTTACTTAGGACCTCAGGTTTCATCACTCCTTCAGCGCCTTGGAGACACAACTTCCTGCCATTGGGAAAGCATCTTTCCAAATATCACTTGCTACTGCACTGTCAACATACAAGGGAGAAGGCTGAGCTGAGTTAAAATGCAACTTAGGTGGTGAAAAGTGAAGTGAGTTTGGTGGCTTCAACAAAGTCTCAATTAGAGGGAACATATCAATATTACAAAAATAGCACCCCATTTGTCATGATGCTATCTGACTAGGTGCTTACGCAGAGCCCCTCATCACAAGATCTAAGCTTTGCTTACCCAAAGCAAACAGAGCAAAAGAGAGTCAAACAAGCACACTAGATTTCTTCAGAGGGTGCTAGAGAGTGCCTGTCTAGGTACTGAGAGAGAGGGGGGAGCTTCTCATCTTCCTCCAGCTTATCTTCTTTTCCTTAGGTTTGTTTGTTGATATTGTGGGAAGATGAGGTTAAATCAGCAAGTTCCAGAAGAGAGCTTTGGAGCAATTGCAGCGAAAGCGCAGGCCATGTCTATACGAACAGCTCTGCAGCTGCACCATACCACTGAGCCGCTGCAGCGCATCTTGTGAAGACACTCTGTGCCGACAGAAGAAAGCTCACCCATCGGCATTAAAACTCACCTCCGTGAGTGGCATAACCTATGTAGGTGGAAGAAGCTCTGTGCACGCGAACATTTGTCAATGTAACTTATTTTGCTCGGGGGGTGGAATATTCACACCCCTGAGTGACATATGTTTTGCTGACACAGGCTATAGTGTAGACACAGCCTCAGTTCTGTGTTCCCAATAATTTTACCCTTGAAGGTGGCAGTTTCATTGTTCACGGTACTACAGTACCAAGGGCCATATAAATACATAGGATGCAAATAGATGGTCTGTGAGCAAGAGGCATTCTTTTAAGCTTGGCCCAGATGCCATGGAGGACCATAAAGATGCTTTATAGTGCATGAGTAGAGCACTGGGGTCATATGTTCTCCATGACTAGTGTTGCTAACAAGGTGAGCGGCTGCATTTCGGATCTTGGAGCTTATTACGGTCAGTGCATTCATTCCCAGGCATAGCAAGTTGCAGTAATCTGGCCTGGAAATCATGGAGGTGAGGATATTTGAGGATAGGTCATCATCAAGTGACAGCAGAGGTCCAGCTTTCTTGCCAGCCACAGAAGGCAGGCAGCATTTTTGGCAGCTGCTGCTATTTGAGCATCCAGAAGCAGGAGAACCCCAAAGCCGCAAACTTGGATAGGTTTCAGAGTAGCAGCCGTGTTAGTCTGTATCCGCAAAAAAAACAGGAGTACTTGTGGCACCTTAGAGACTAACAAATTTATTAGAGCATAAGCTTTCATGGACTACAGCCCACTTCTTCGGATGCATACAGAGTGGAATAAATATTGAGGAGATATATATACACACATACAGAGAGCATAAACAGGTGGGAGTTGTCTTACCAACTCTGAGAGGCCAATTAAGTAAGAGAAAAAAACTTCTGAAGTGATAATCAAGCTAGCCCAGTACAGACAGTTTGATAAGAAGTGTGAGAATACTTACAAGGGGAGATAGATTCAGTGTTTGTAATGGCTCAGCCATTAACAGTCCTTATTCAATCCTGAGTTGATTGTGTCTAGTTTGCATATCAATTCCAGCTCAGCAGTCTCTCGTTGGAGTCTGTTTTTGAAGTTTTTCTGTTGTAATATAGCCACCCGCAGGTCTGTCACTGAATGACCAGACAGGTTAAAGTGTTCTCCCACTGGTTTTTGAGTATTTTGATTCCTGATGTCAGATTTGTGTCCATTAATTCTTTTGCGTAGAGACTGTCCGGTTTGGCCAATGTACATGGCAGAGGGGCATTGCTGGCACATGATGGCATATATCACATTGGTAGATGTGCAGGTGAACGAGTCCCTGATGGTATGGCTGATGTGATTAGGTCCTATGATGATGTCACTGGAATAGATATGTGGACAGAGTTGGCATCGGGGTTCCATTCTATATGCATCCGAAGAAGTGGGCTGTAGTCCACGAAAGCTTATGCTCTAATAAATTTGTTAGTCTCTAAGGTGCCACAAGTCCTCCTGTTCTTCTTTTTGCGGATACAGACTAACACGGCTGCTACTCTGAAACTTTTGCTGAGCTTCAGTTCATCTGCAAATTTGACACCATCAGCTCAGGATTAAACAAAGACTGTGAATGGCTAGCCAAGTACAAAAGCAGTTTCTCCTCCCTTGGTGTTCACACCTCAACTGCTAGAAGAGGGCCTCATCCTCCCTGATTGAACTAACCTCGTTATCTCTAGCCTGACTCACTCTTGCTTGCATATTTATACCTGTCTCTGGAAATTTCCACTACATGCATCCGACGAAGTGGGTATTCACCCACGAAAGCTCATGCTCCAATACGTCTGTTAGTCTATAAGGTGCCACAGGACTCTTTGCTGCTTTTACAGATCCAGACTAACACGGCTACCCCTCTGATACTTAACATCATCTTAGAATCTCTCCGTGGCCATTTGTTCTTTTTTCCAAAAATGAATTTTTTATTGTTGTTTATTTGTTTAATTATTTGGGGGTTTGTTTTGTTTTTGTTTTTATTATTTTGAATCCGGCCCCTAACTCCTCTGGTCCCAATGCACAGAATCAGTCACTGCTTTGAGAGTAGCAATGCTAAGCATAACTTTTAAAGGTGCCGGCTGAGATGTGTAGGGGTGTTGTGGTCCAGTGACAGTAGTAGGGTAATGATCACCATGTAAAATCAATAGAATGTGTCTAAAGATTCTGGAGAGAGGGTCCGAGTCGGAAGTGGGAATGACAGAGATATGAGAGAAGGAAAATGAGGAGAGAAAGGAGAGGTCTCTCAGGCAGCAGACATAGTCTGAGTCACCTGTGCGCTGTCCTGGGACTAGAGGGAAATTCCCTTTTGTGGGATCAGCGCTGTCTGCAGTGAGGAGTCAATGAGGAAACTGATCTTGGTAGCGGAAAGCGACCTTGAAAACAGGCAAAGACAAAACTAGTTTGAGACTTGACATGATGGGAAGAGAAAGAACCAGGTAGAAAAATGTTACACCAGGAAGGATACATTACACTGCTAATTTAAAGTTCACAACCAGCCACAGACCGGAAGAGAATCATTTGCAACATGCAATTGCTACGATGGTTCACAGTATGCTTATACAACATTGAAAGTTTGATCAACATTGATTATTTATGTTGGAAATCATGTTGAAAAATAGGTTTCTGTCTTCCCCAATCTTCTAGCAAGGGCCCCATGTAATGCTGCTGCAATCAATCAAAAAACACCATCCTTCATAATAACATTACGATTTTTAAAGGGCAACATTTCAGAGGGTTAAAATTGGGATCCAGGGTAGAAGCGAGTGAGTAAATGCTTGTACTCTGCTTTGAAGCTGTAAAGTGCTGTATAAGGACTAAAATAATTGTTATACTCCAGGTGCACTAAGGGAACACTGCGGTCAGTGGTGGCACTGTGCCTGTGTATCTGTGTTACTGCACTGAGGGTTATGTTTGTCTTCAGTTCAGTTATTAGAAAAGATCATTTTAGCAGACACCTCCTTCTAAGATAAATGGTCATTTCCCTGGGAAGTTCATTCTGAAGTAAAGGTTTTAAATCAGTGATTAAGGAACATCATCGAATCTGCCTTTTTTGCCAAGAAAACCACAAACATTTCAGTAAAACATTTTTGTCCAGCTCAGTGGACTTCATTAGGGCTGCAACCCCCGCTCACACCCTCTAAACACCACCATAGGTGTTTAGACAGCCTACGGGAATGCAGTGATAATATTCATGGTTGAAAAAATAATAACGAAGGAGGATTGTTCATGTGTGCAGGGAATCGGGAAAATGTGTCCATGTAGGGAAGTTACTGTTTATTTTCTGAAAAATACACAGGTCATTTTTTTAAAGGGGGAAAAAAAAGGCCATCGGATTCTATTAAAGTGGCTGGGTGATAATGGGGTTGGCAGTTGTACCTCAGTTACTTCCTGTACAGCGCCTGCCCCTACTAACACAGAAACTGATTTCAGGAAGAATTTTAGAGAAATAAATCCAATAATCGGAAAACCCAATGGAAGGGTTCCACTGTGAGGATAATTCTCATTAGAAACTTTTCACCTCCATTCATTTAGATACAACCGCAGATGTTTCCTTCTGCTTCATACCAAGAAGGCTGCAGCACTAATGAGGTTTTTGCATTGAGTTGTATCACTGTGAGCGGGGTTGTATAGTCCTGCTGACAGTAGTAGTCACCTCCATCATCAGCCTGCACCCCACTAATGGTGAATGTGAAGTCGGTGCCGCTGTATTGACCACTGAATCGATCGGGGACCCCAGTGAAACGGGTGGCTCCGTTATATATAAGGAGCTTGGGATTTTGTCCCAATTTAAATAGATGTAGTTGCATATCGTTACTCATGGAGCTGGATGCCTTGCACTGAATGGTGACCGTCTCTCCTGGAAGCACCGTCACAGAAGCAGGTGTCTGAGTGATAACAATCTGCCCACTGGATTCTAGAAAAAGAGAGAAATAAAAACCCTTTCCCTGAATCTCTTATCAAAACAAATGGTGAGAAGTTCAATGAATGAAGAGAGCTGTGTTACCTACCTTCAAACACAGAGAACAGCAGCCAGAGCAAATGCATTTGTAAAATCATGTTCCTTCTAGATCAGTTTCTTTGACACTAATTGTTAAACTGCAGCACTGGTTTATAGCCACTGGGAAGAATTTTAGAATTTATTAACAGTCACGTATGGAAAAATATGTAAATCAGAGAATGGGCTAAATTATACCCAACAGCTTCCTGTGTGCTTCAGGGCTTTATTATCAGGAGGAAACAGTTGCATGTCAATCTTTCTCATTAAACATGAGAAATGTTAACAGGAGACGTGTGTGCACATTCCCAATGAATTGGAAATAATCCAGCGGATTTAGTGACTCTAGCTCTTTAATACTAAAACACTCTGAGAAATCCAGAGATGTTTACTGGAATTTTCTAATGTATATACAGTAAGAATAGACTGATATTTAATCATTAGGGATTTCCTATGATTTGCTTGCTTTAGTTAGGAAAATAAAAATTACAGGTTCTGATGATTTATTTCCCCAGGGGAATGAAATGATTGTGAAATTAGTAGAACTTGTCCAAAGTCCCACTGCAGGTCGGCAGTAGAGCCAGGAAGAGAATTCAAGACTCCCTAATCCAGAACAGAGCCTTATCCACAGCTGTTGTTTGTGTACAAGTCATTTTGCTCACGCAGTTTGACTGAGAGATAAGTGTATCTTTATGATCAGTGTGGGGTGTTCAGATAACATGGTGCTGGGTGCCAGGTAAGAACATGTATGCTGATAGAATTTGATTATTGGTTATTATTTTATAACACTCCCATATATGTTAGGAGCTTTACAGAATAGATTGAAAGACCTGGGTCTGGACCAGGACAGCTTGCAGTTTAGCATTGGAAAGATCCATTGATCTCTGTACATGAGAAAAAGACGTGTTACATTCATAGAACCCAACCCTGCAGTCCTGACTCCGGCAAAATCCCATATGTTTTGAAGTGGGGTGTGTTGAAGGCTCAGCACTGGTCTTCGAGGCATACGGCAGCTGGGCTCTGAGGTCCCACTTCCATGAAAGGGGGAACAGATGGAGCCTGTGCCCCGGAAGTGTGCCAGAGAGGGCAAAGAAAGAGACAGTACTAGAGCCTACCTAGACCAAGGGAAGACCCCTGGGAAAAACTTCCCAATGGTCAGAGTAGTTAAACACTGGAACAAATTACCTAGAGAGGTTGTAGAATCTCCCTTATTGAAGTTTTTAAGAACAGGTTAGCCAAGCACCTGTCAGGGATGGTCTAGATAATCCTTTGACCTGCCTCAGTGCAGGCGATTGGACTCCATGATCTATGGAGGTCCCTTGCAGTCCTACATTTCTCTGATTCCTGATTGGGTTCCAGCATGTGGGGCCCCAGTCCAGCACCTGGTCAATGTCCAACAGGGGAAGCTCATTCATCAATAAACAAAAAGCAACCTGGGACCAATTTCATAAGGGCTGAGACCAAAGCAGCTCAGATTATTAGGTTCATTGATCAGTATCAGTTACCTTATTGTCAGTTCAGTGTTGGAAGAAGGATGGTCTCATGGATAAGGCTGGGATTGGGACTCAGGAGATCAGGATTCAAGTCTCAGCTCTGCCACAGACTCATAGAGTGAGTCATTTGATCTAACTGTTCCTTCTGGATTTAAAAGCTATGAATTTCTCCATGATTTAGTTTCCATCCGTATAACAGGGATTGCAATGCTTCCTTTGTCAGCTGAGTAGATTTGGATTATCAACTGTTTTGGGCAGGACAGGCTCTTACTTTACTATCTGCATGTACAGCACCTAGCACAGTGGGGACTCTAGGTGCTGCCATCACAAAACAAGGTGAGAACCCTTTTGTAATTTTTCAGACTTCAGCATGAACTGTTGAAAGCTGGCCATGGGAGGGAATCTAGTTCCCAAAGGACAGGCAAGGCGTGCCCAGCTCTGCAGCCCATCTGCTGGTGCTGCAATCCCGGCCCCGTGGCTCTCAAAGGGAGCGGGACAACTACACAAAACCTCCGCAGGGTTGGTAGCCGATGGAGTCATGTAACGAAGGTTCCCACCTCTGAATCACAATTCTTTCCTAGCCCTCTTCCCCCCCCCCCCCACACGCACTGGCCCTGCAGTTGTGGAGTCCCATGTGGTGGAATTATGTGGTTCTATGCTTTGGGGGATTTTCCAGGAGCTCCAGGGAATGTCCAAGGAAGTTCAGTGGTGAGATGGTGCAGAGAATATTAATGGCACAGGAGGGTTTGTGTGTAAGGAATGTGTTACATGGGTGTACATGTGCAGAGGGAATTACTGATTGGGGTGCTTCTGAAAAATTCATTGAAAATTATGTTTCTTAAAAAAGGCCCTGAGGTCCTGCTTATAGGGCACTGAGTGGAATGTGTAACAAAGGGATTGGCTTCTGCATTTCAGCTACTGCCTTGAGAATTCCTGACCCTGCCAGCTGAGTTACTGAAAAATAACTTCACCCGCAAATACTGTAACACGACTGAATCTAAAACATCTGAGAGTCCAGTTAAACAATAAAATTTTAAAGGTTATTTCCAGCCAGATTGATAAGTACACAGCTGCTTCCTTCTCCTTTATACTACATGGTGTGTGCAGTGGCACCAAAAAGGTTTTTGTATTGAACTGTATCACTGTGAGAGGACGGCTTGCCCACAGTAGTATTCTCCTGCATCCTCAGCCTGCACACCCCTAATGGTGAATGTGAAGTCAGTGCCACTGTAACTACCACTGAATCGATCTGGGACTCCAGTGAAATGGGTGTTTGCATCATGTATGAGGAGCTTGGGATTTTGTCCAGATTTAAACAGAAATAAGCTCATATCATCACTCATTGAGCTGGACGCCTTGCACTGGATGGTGACTGTCTCTCCTGGAAGCACCGTCAGAGAAGCAGGTGTCTGAGTGATAACAATCTGCCCGCTGGATTCTGGAAAAGGGAGAAATAAGCAGCATTTTAGTGAATCTCTTTTAGAAACTTCTTCATTAGAGTTCAAAAATTATTGCTGTGTGACCTACCTTCAAACATGGAAAAGAGAAGCCAGGTCAAATATATTTGCAAAATCATGGTCTTTCCTGATTTTTTTTTCTCTGTTGCTGTTAAAATTCACAAAGGTTTCCAACTAGTGTGATGGCTTTTAGAGCGTCTTAAATATCACACATGGAAAGATATGTAAATCTGAGGCTGGACTTAATGATGCTTAATTGGTTTCCTGTGTATGTCATGGCTATATTACCAAGGGGAAACAGAGGTATGTTTCCTCACTAGTATTATGCATAAGAAACCATAATGAAAGATGTGTCCACATGTTCCTAAATTAATTTGATAGGTAACTATCTCTATAATGCTGGAATATATTGATAAAACCACAAAAATTCATGTAGGGATTTCAATGCAATTGAAAGTATGAAGAGCTAGGGCTGTCTGTGTGATAATTGCAACAGAGGGTCCTGTGGCACCTTTAAGACTAACAGAAGTACTGGGAGCATAAGCTTTCATGGGTAAGAACCTCACTTCTTCAGATGCAAGTAATGGAAATCTCCAGAGGCAGGTATAAATCAGTATGGAGATAATGAGGTTAGTTCAATCAGGGAGGGTGAGGTGCTCTGCTAGCAGTTGAGGTATG